TGCTGTGTGTCCCAGGGCCATCCTTGGCCAAAATGTGGGACTGCCCCTGCCCAGCAAGGTCTAAGGCTTCTGGAGCCTATCCTGACATCCACAAACCTGTCATTTTACATCAGATCCACCCATGAAATAGAAATGAACCCTGAGCTCCAGCTTTCCAGGTGCTGCCACTCTCTTTCATTAAAATAGCTGCAATATGTCCACTTGGGTGCTTTCCAGTACTAGTTTCTTACAGGTTGGGTCCTGCCTTTCCACCCCCCCACAAATAAAAGAGTTTGAAAAAATACAAACCCCTTGGGCTAATGCTCAGGAAAACCTCTTGCTTCATTTCTATAGGTATTACTATATCAATAAATACTAATAGGACATAAAGTGACCTTCAGTTTAAAAGCCACAACTGAAACCTTCCAAACTTTTAATAGGTTATTCACACAGTTTTACTATATATAGCCAGCTTGCTAATAGCCATGAAGCTGGTTGGTGTGAAGGGACCTATGGAGTCCTTCATGTACTCTTAGAGAGGAGAGAGAAATAAAAATATATGAACAGTAGAAAAACCCACCTTAAGTAACTAGATTAAAATTAAAACTACCTTTAATCCATCACCAGTCTGAAATCCACCAGATGCCACATGGCTAGTTATCTATACCAGTCTTTTCTATGTTTATAATCCATCCTTTTTTGATGTTTATAGTTTAACACAAAGCCTCACTCAGTGTAACAAGGCTGTACCAGACCCGCTGAGTTTGTTTTGCCAACAGGCAGGAGCTGCAGCAAGGCTGGGGATGAAGCCTTTGAGATTAACAGGTTGCCAAAGAGAGCTGTGCTACTACTCATCCTTTTTTCAGATGCAAATTTCACTGAAGTCCTTCAAATAAGAGAAAAAATGTTCTGTCATTGGTTCTCACTCAGTCTCTCCTCCTGTGTTGTGGTGGGCACAGCCCAGGATTTTCCTGCTGTGCTTGTGTTCCTCAGCCCTGGAGGACACAGCAGACTGAGAGACATGAGAAGGATACATGGGAGAGAAGCACATGGGGCATCTTCCCTCCTCCCAAGGACATGGGTGAACCTTTCTGTGTTCTGACCAAATTTCATTGAAAACAAAAGAGAACTGGAGGCACAGAGGGATGAAACAGCTGGTTCCCATGAAGTCAATGCTGCATAACTCTGAGTGCTTTTCCTACCTAGGGACTTCTTAGAGAAAAGAAAGAATTTACCATTTGTCTAGGAGTCCAACTTGAAGGTTTTTGAGACAACCAGCCAGAACTGCTGGGTAAGATCTGCCACCAACACTGCTTGCACCCACCTCACAGCAACCCCAGAGACACAAACCCAGGAGCCCTGCAGGAACACAAAGCACC